GGTGAGACGTTTTTTGTGAAACCTTGAATATGACACGAATGGCCCTGCAAGAGTTAGAGTGCGATTTGTTAATCTTAGGCAGTTCGGGTGACGACTGGGCATCAGCTAACGCCAAAAAGTCCACAGTGGTTAAGCTAGAGCGGTGTCCACTGATGTGTTTGTCTTCCGGCCACCACGCTTACTAGAGGTGTGACAGTCACCTGCCTTCCATTATTGTTTTTGACGAAGCACTTTGCATGTCTGGTGGTACCGGAAAGGAGACTACAGTCCACTTGGGTGACGAAATGTGAAAAAGAAAAGTATCGGACTGTATTGACTGAGCTGTCTTGTCAGCTTGTAGTGGGTCGTGCCGACAAGCACAGTAACACATTTGAATCAAGCGTTCAATATATACTTGTGTATATATGTAACGCAACCCCACAGCATCACGTTTACGTTGTCTTGCTTCGATTAACATATAGAATGTTCAAAAATTTTTAGCATGCTTCCGGGGTCTCACAATAAAATTCGTCTAACTCTTGAAAATTGCCTTGCTCTCAGAATTAAATACTAATACTGAACCACATGGTTGGTTAGCCAAGCTAATTATTTCGTCAGGCCACCCATACAAAATCTTTTGGAGTAAGGATAACAGGACCTTGATATACCTTGCTTGTGTGCTGTATTTAGTAATGCGTGGAGACGAAACTTGAGTATTTTACCGGGAACATGTTGGATTTGCATTCACAATGACCGCGCATGATACTTCGGTCTCACTTGTCAGATTAAAGCGCGTACAACGCATTTCTCAAACTAACAATTTCAACAAAAGTGTTTGAACACTGGGACGGATAGGTCGGTTAATGCATCCTGAAACAACTCAATTATAGGTGACTAAAGAGCGGTGTTCTAAATAGGGAACGGCAGTAGTTTCGCTACGCTAACAGTCCTCAGGTGAGTCTACAAAACCGTGATATAAGTTTCAGATATATGAGGAATCTGACACTTACTGGAGTGACTTATCAAAATCACACTCAAACACACAGGATACCTCACTCGAACTTAAGTGCTTCTTTTGAAATACCTTTACGATTTCACGTATTACTAGCGATACGTAGATCTGTGGAATTCGGAAGACTGCTTCTGACTAGAATTAAATTAAGTCACTTGAATACTTACTAAAAACCCCATTACATTGCCTGAGTCGATTTCTTTTACTTCGGTTCAAGCTCTGGCGGAAGCATCTATGCCTCTTTTCCACTATTCTCCCACCAAACACTGCTGCCATAAAATGAGACGACAGTACTCGTAGTTATTCAACTGCTGGCATACCGCCTGCCTGACAGCTCTCAAATGAATGCCACAGCAATGAGCATCTGTCGAAACTATGCTTATGGAGCGTCACCCAGCGAAATGGCGGCATCCGACTGAGACATTAAAGATTTGGTGGATGAGGCCGACACCTTGCTGCATATTATGTTTGACGGATACGCCTATTCTTGGCTGTCAACAAACTCCTGAATGTAACGTGCACGTATAAAGAAACCCGCCTTCGCAGAAGCTCTTTGTTTTTGCTTGATTGCTTGGGTTGACAGTCTGAATCTGGGGCCTTCAAAACCTGTTAAACTTGAAAAACCAACATATTCGGACCATAGGCACGAATACAATTTCCAGGAATTTTTTCATCGGTAACTAGGCATGCAAAACCGAGCACTCAGTTAAACCTTGTTTACGTTTAAGTATGTGTATTGTTAGAACTAAGCAGCGCAGTGAATGCCATTTCATCATTTCCGCTGACACCCAGGTCTTGCGACCTGTATCCAGCGAGACTAAACACGCTTAAGGGCGGTGCTGGGTATAAACGGCCCCAAATTTAGTTCATAGCGCCTTAACTAGTTTGTCCGGTTGTATGACCAAACAGCAACAATTCAGTCACAATGTCTGTAGACAACTGCTGTTCAAAGTGTCTAGACGTGGGTTTCACTAGCACTATTGAGCTTATTGTTAAACAATGCTTACAAGGCACGAAAATCTTTTGTTTTAAAGTTCAGCGGCGATTCTGGACCATCTGTCTATAATGTTTTACTCCGAAACTGTTTGCTGCGAATATGTCGGGCAAGGGTGGGACGTAGAGTATTGTACCTGAGCAGCCTACTTCATGCTTTTTGATATTCGGTGGCTGATAAACAAGTCTATAGCCCGGTTCTATAGGGGAGGCATTATTAATAAGTCAAATTTGGCTAGCAAGCGCTTCACTATTCATATTCACCAAAGCATCGTACTCTCTATGGTCATCAATTGATTATATCAGCTTCGCCCGTATGGCAGTAGAATACGATCAAAAATAGATACATGTAAATAATAGGGAAAAGGTGCTTTGGCTTACATCTAATTTTGCATGAATGTCATTGGCATCCCGAATCTTGTGCAAAAATCATCCCTTATATCAATTCTCTGACAGTTGTTTCGGCTTATATGAAGGTTTATACGAGTTGATGTCCTTGAATTGTATTCGATCAGCATCTTTACGCAGTTAAAGACAAAACATGGTTTTTGCGTCCATCACCTGTAGATCAAACTAAGACGAAGCAAAAATGTGAGAAAATGTGTGCAAATAATTTCTTTTCAGAAGTCACAACCTACAACCGCTGCATAATTAGGTCGTGTTTCGTGGAGACTTCGTGGTAGATTTTCTCCATCATACGTTCATGTTTACAGTCGCAAGGAGACTTTATTTCGTCCTGGTGAGTAACTCATCCACGGGTGGACTACAGAAAATGTGTGCAAATAATTTCTTTTCAGAAGTCACAACCTACAACCGCTGCATAATTAGGTCGTGTTTCGTGGAGACTTCGTGGTAGATTTTCTCCATCATACGTTCATGTTTACAGTCGCAAGGAGACTTTATTTCGTCCTGGTGAGTAACTCATCCACGGGGTGGACTACAGTCGGAGGAGTCTTCAGTCATCTACAGATCCTCATTCATCATTCTGGAATGAACTCCCATATTGCTTTGGTACAGACTTTGGAACCGGGCTTGTTAGTTGCTCAGGTCCACTTGAGCCTTCCCTGCTGGATTTAAGTCAGGACTTTGGGCCAATTGGTTTTTCGGAAGATCTCTTCCACACTCACATCTAGGTTTGACATGAAGAAATCTTACCTGGATCGGACAAAAAACAACATCCGTATGCAACAATGATGTAGTTAATAACAATAAGGACAAAGTCTTGAAAGCTCGCTTTCACTAAACAAAACCACTTCAGACCTCATTTCATTGAACTAAGGTTCAGTCTACGGAAGAACTCAGCGAAAAGATTCATGCCCTAGTCTTTTGTATCTTGTGGGCCCATAGTTCATCCCCAACCACACGTACAACTCCTGAACAGTTTTAATTCTTATTATGAACCACCTACTAAAAACTCCAAACTACAGTTACCCAGCCAAATTGGCAGGACGTTTCGATGAACGCACTTGTGAACCCAATGACTTCAATTTACCTATTTTTGAAAGAAAATTCTCCAGAACAATAGTGAAGGCACATTTTTGTTCCAGGAGCTGATAATTTTCTGACGGTTGCAACAGTTTTCCGACAGTTTTGAACAACGACCTTCACCCAGACAGGGTCATTATAATGATCATTCCCCTTTGAATATGTCTGTATGTTATACTTCTAGACCATGGTTTGGGTATTCTATCCACTAAGACCTGGATGTTAAGACAGACGAAAACTGAATGACCGTCAATAATAAGCAATCGCATCTTTTTTTACTTCGTTAAAAATGAATCTGGTGCAAGTGTTTTCCGTGTCGTTTTACAATGTGTTTTGGAGAATCAAGAACGATTTCCGTGATTTGGATGACAGACTGCTTGCAGCAAACCAATGTTAGCTGCGACAGTTTTCTGGAAAACTCGCCTCTATCAATTTGCGGATACTATCTCGTCCAGGTAAACGTATCTGCAAAACTGGCCATGATGAGCGTGCAAAACATTCACTAATATAGTCCGTTATAGTCCGATTTTCTAGGTTGGAAAGTGGTAAAAATCTTTTGGTTAAGTCTTTTTGTTATTTTTCACAGAGGTAACGGTGTTACTACGCCTTTGCTTTTGCTTCCCAGCCTTGGTTAGTTATATTTGTGAAATCAAAACAAGGTCATCTTGGTTGAATAGAAAACATGTGGCAACGGCTTGTGGAGAAAGTTTTGTGCAGCACCTTGCAAGTTAGTTATTCAGGTCTGAAGCCTTCCTCGTTGTCAGGTAGCTTTGCTCAAGTGTGTCATCTCGGTTTCGAGTTTGGTCATTACTGCTGTGGCCATAAGAATAAACGTGATAACAAATTTCCGAAGTTTAACAGAGTGTATGATATTCTCAGGTCGGAGATTGTGGGCCGTTTTCTTACTGGATTTGTCAGTGAAAGATGTAGACGCAGCAAACCCCCTGTGTAGGCTGTAGTGGTAGTGATGTTGCTGGAGGTGAGAAGATCTCTAATCGTCAACGTCACCGCCTCCATCACTATGGTCGTCATTATCATTAGTAAGCTTGTGCTTGCCTCCTCCTTGATTATCAAACTTTCTCGAATACAGTGTTCTCACTGAGCACAACAGCATCAAGCCTACGAATGATTACCAAAATGAACAGTTCATATTCTTATATTTGTCTATTGGTGAAGGGCAATTTTCAAATAAATTCAAGTTTACATAGTTGTAAATAAAGCCTGCGATGCCAACACAACAAAGCTAATGTCCATGAATCACCATGCATGAATAAAGTGAAAAATGAGTTAGTATCAAAATGAATACCACACGTAGTAATAAGTTTTCCATTATACGTCCGTGAATTAGCCTAATCAATGCACTGTTCATTTGCCAAAGTTGAAATTTATCAATATGTGTTAAGCTTCTTGAGGGCAACAAAAACAACTTGCCGCAAATGGAAAGAATAACTTTAACCATGACGAAATTCACTGCATATCCTTGATTTGGTTTCAAGTAGACCGAAGTTCATCACTCGTTCACCGTACTTACAGCATCGTCCGAGTTGATGTGCTGCTGACAATAAGAGGGCCAAATCCTGCGAGAAACTCAATAGCTTGGTTGTCGATATCGTTTACGCGATTGTCGAATGCACCCAAAATGTTTAGCCTGTGAAACAGAGTTATGACAGTTTTAGCATCCGGTTCGATCTTACTGTGTACGTACCCTAATTTTTCCCTGACTTTATCTAGTTGTGCAGATTACGTGCTCAGCTAAACTAAAACAGTTTTGCAAACCTCTGAACCATGATCCGCGCTTTATCTCGTATTCTACCTCAGTCGCTTGCAACTACTTATATTTACCATGCTTAAGCTAAGTTGCGCAGTGCGGCGGCACTAGCCGGTCAGTTAACAACCACCAGTTACGACGCTTGTGAAGTGATGACATAAAAATTGTTTTTGGGAAAAAGTAATGATGTTAAGAACGTCAGTGTTACCTTTCTTCACTGCCAGTATTGACTCCATTAGAATGAACTTTCAAAATTTTCCATTACTCGAGTGTTTTTGGATGAAAAGCAACCAATATACTGGTGTTTATTGTGCAAAGCCACCATGTTTTGGACTACAGAGTTGAACAAATTTATGTTTTTATCCTTACCACTGCAAATGAGTGATTGGCATACGATTCGGATTTGTCGCCAAAAATCCGTGAAACTACCGCGTATAAAAAGATTCCATAAAGAACTCTTATGCAGCCGGCAACTGCTTAGGGCCCGTGTTAGCCCGGTGGAGCACGGTCGGTTAACAAACATGGAGAAGCCTATTGCAAGACGTCAGTCACCCCAAATATTATGGCGTAAAGACGGTCACTGGTAAGATGTACCTGATTAATATCAAGATGCCGGACAGAACATCGCTTCCTTTTTGTTGCAGTGCAATACGCACTTCTCTCAGTATGTTAAAAGTTTACCTTGTGGAAACCAAAACTTTTCATATTTATTTTGAGAATCAAATTACACATTCACTCGTTTTTGTTGTACAAAGGAAATACCTGAACTCCATTTATTCCAAGTGTTCATTGCTCCAACATTCCAAATTGATTTTCTCCGAAAAGTAGGGTGTCCAGAACGAGACTTAAATAACCTACAGCTGAAGATGTTTTGTCGCCAGGGGTCTTATATGCCCAAAATGAGTAGTGACAAGGAAAGAGAACTTGTTTATCCGTGTGGCCCATATGTCTACCTCTTGAGGAAACGACGAATTATTCAAAACATTTGTAGAACGCCACCCTTATGGAACTTTGCACCTGAGTGAGTGATTGAGTGTTCCCTGGATAGACGGCGTTAAACAGTGGGATTTCCGACTTTCTTAGTGGCAGTCGGTGTGTAATAGCAACGGTTGCATGCTTAATCTGGTATATCATACAGCTTCTCTTTGGGTGAAATAAAATTGATAATACACAGAACTGTGTTAAAGTAGTTTGTAGTCACTTTTCCCATCACACGGACTCTCTGATCTTTGAGGAACACTTTCAGATTCAAAGGGAAAAACAGATCACATATTAAATGGAGTACTGTAGAAAGCTTTGTACTCCCAATCATGTCAGCAGAGAACAAGCAAAGTCCACAGTCCAAAAATGAAAAGTTGGCAGCCCAAAACAAAAACTAGTTGATATTTCTCCTACAGTGAGTTAACGTCTAGAGTAAAATTCATTACCAATGCCTGAAGCGGCCCAAATTAAATTTTCATCATAAATCACTTGCCGCTGACCGACGCACAATATTTTTCATGGGATGAAAGGCAATATTTCGTTCATATAAGTTTTCAATAATCTGATGGCCCCCAATTTACAACCTGAGACCATTCAAACGATTGACTTGGCCTCCTCTCGATGGAAAACAAACGTTTTTGAAGGTATCTCAAAAAATAATACTCCAGACGCTTATGCGAGGACAGTTCGTTGTCTCTACTGTAGCAGGTTAAACTTCAGTCAGTTTCAAGTGAAGGAAATTATCAAAGCTGATCTGAAGAACCCTTGAACTTTCTTGGTAGCAGAATATTGTAGAGATTAACTGATTTCTAAGAGATGAATGAGTTGGACATGCAATTAGCTGCTAAGATTTCCCGTCTGAATTAATGGTTAGGACCCTGTATTGAAACAACATAGATACGTCACAAAGCAAATTTCCCCAGGAGATATTCCGAAAATCATAAAGAGTTAATAATTAAAAAGTTCATGGAAGCTTTTTGATTATGATACAATGCTGCCTCTTGTTCGACTTAAAACCGAAATCTGCTTTGCTCCCTCAAACAAATCTACCTAAAATCTAAGGCTCTTACTCGAAAAATAGCAAGCCTTTATTGGTTTTTGGTATAAGTAAGCAAGAGGTCTTAGGAATAGAGAGTCACCTAAGGTCATAATTGGCTGATAGGTATAAATTTGAAATAACTGCATTAAATTCCCTGCAGTGAGCCGCATTATCATTAAAAAATGTAAGCGAAAAATTATTGACAACTACTTATGTGCAGTTTCAGTATCATAGTATTTCCAAAAATGCAATATGCAGGAGTAGCGAAATGCTTTCAACCAACGCTGAGTCAAACTACGGTGACATTTTCGTCCACTGCTCATACCATGGTTAACCAGAAATGTGGCTAAAATATAGTCTGAAATTTTCCCAATAGTTGCTGTCCTTGGAACCAGCGAAGATTGGAATGAGCTGCATTGGTTTGGAAGGCCAGCGAACAGCATAAACAGAAACACCGCATGTGATGGTCACACCTTTCACGGTCAATCCATTACCCAGCGACTATTCGAATGTTTGCAGACTAGAACGTGACCATAGTACAGGGGCCCATAAACACTGGCCCATGACTCTCATACACATGATAGGTTGCATATGTATTTGATGTTCATCGCTCCGAACGACAATTTGGCAGTTGGGTCTCAGTGATAAACTCAACAAGTGGAGTGGCGTTGATTCGTAAACAACGCATTCAGGTTGGCCGATAACGGAACCATATCGAGCCTAGTGGGCCTCGTTTAATGGTTCTGATTTGATTTCAGTCGGTTGTTTACACATTTAATCTAAATGATATCTAATTTTCAAAAATTGTTTTATTATACAAACTTGGTAAGAATAAAAAGCATGCACTGTATTATTACTCAAACCAATGCGACTCATCGAAAATGTGTTGCACTTTTCAAGCAAACGATGTCATTGGTTGTTCCGTTCTAATAAAACTCGGTTACACGGACCACAATATTTGATTAGTAGATTCTCGGCTGTTTTCTTTGATTGGTATTTTCTCTGACTTCCGACAACTTTCTATGTGATAGGAATGCCTAAAACGATATCATGTCTGCGAATGATAAGACTAATGACTTGCTTCACGTCTACAAGTTGTGCTCAGGGAGAAGCATATATCTGTGTCCCCGGTGTTCTTCCAAAACCAAAGACAAACATAAATTAGGTCCTTTTACCTGTACATCACATCACAGTAAAGAAGACAGAGAACAAGTTGAAAAGGTAATTTTAGACACAATGCTTGGGCCACGGACACCTTGATTTGGGTTACTTAAACAAAGCACTTTCATAGCAAGTATAAGGCGTTCCCAAGTAAATTTGAACATTTGTGTGCTTGAATAAATGGACACATGTATATTATACGACTCGAACTTCGTCCCGTACTACCAGTAGACTACAGAAATTGGACTTATATTATGACGTTAAAAGCTGTCACCGGCGTGTGTCCAGGACATCCAAACATGTGATTGAATGGGCGCTCAAATCAGTCTTTTGAGACAATGATGATGTGTCATCTGCTGATTTGATTTCAAATTTATTCTAGTTCATGCTACCAATGTCCAAAGTCCCAGTCACGTGCATTTTTATCTTCTACTGAGAAACGACTGGGCTCAGAAGACCATACTGCAATTTGTTAACATAATACCATAACAATTTTTCTCTCTACATCGATGTCCTAGTAGTGCGCGAATTAGTTCCAAATTTATCCACACCAATATATACACAAGCGCCTTGAACAATGCAGTTTGGATATGAACTGCTAGGTAAGTGGTGAATGTGCGCATTGTGTCAATAACAACAAGCAGTCAGAACAGAGTCAATGGCAGTGATAGGCGATTTGGTACTCTTGAAATGATACTTTATCCTGTAATTAAGGCTTGTCTATGCTCAAAAAAAGCGCTGTAGACCTGATTCGTCTTTGTTTAGAAACATCGACAGTGAGTATCCCACTAAGCTCTTGGAATTTACAACTAGTAGTCTGAACGTCGATCGTTTGCCCAGGGGTGCCTAATTAGCAGTGTTCGGCTCATACTAAAATGTCATTCATCCTTTGGTAAGGAAATTCAAATCATGCTGTCATGTAATGTTTGACGGCTTACTTGCACGACTCAGTCCTAATTAAAAATCTACCAAATCTTCCCATCCCACCTGAGTTTCATTAGACGCTGTATAGTACTCTTCGGTTTTTCAGCACAGGCTGGTTCCACATACAGTAAGGAAGCTCAGTTGAAATCTACCAAATTTCCACATAGTAACATCGATTAGTAGGAATCTTGGAATCTTGTCCGTTGCTTCCATAAGGTGCTTGCTGATCGCTGGAGTCGTAGATTGTAGGTGTCCTCACTTCAGTTTGCATTTCTGCATCGAAACGGCTGTTTGGAAGCGACATCGCTGTTGCATGCCCTGCTTCGTCACTCTTCAGCGACTGCTTCTAACCTCAGCTTGGCGTTTGTCGATATCTCGAAGGCGTTCGATTCGGTTTCGCATGACACAATCGTCAGATCTGCCAAGGCGTTTGGAGCTCCGTCACCTCTAGTTCGATACATCGCACAGTCCTATGAGAATGCTGTAGCAGTTTTCCCCAGTTCCGAGGTTCACTGCCACAGAGGTGTGAGGCAAGGAGATCCACTCTCCCCATTATTATTCATTATG